GCCATCGCTCTTAGGTTGGAGACGCCATCGCTCTTAGGTTGGAGACGCCATCGCTCTTAGGTTGGAGGCCATTGCTTTTTTTCTTACTACATGTTACCCACCCCGAAGCGGCACCAGCCTCTCCAATGGGCACAAAGCCGCCGGCAAGATCGGCTGCAGGAGTGTCCGCCCACCATTGGAAGCCAAGTGGCTGGGTAGCTGAGTCATTCCGGTTTTTGGAGTGGAGAGAATATTCGTATGTTGACTTTCTGGCATGAAGCCACCTTTTGATCCACTCCAGTCGACCGTCGACCCTTTCCCGCCGTTTTCCGACTCTTTGGCGTCAAGGCCCAGTGCAGTCCACCTCATGAGTATTTTCGTGAGCGGGAGGAGCGGTGCGCGCGCCTGTGCGCCTGTCACTTCATTGGTTTGGCATGTTTGGTGTTATTCTTGTAATAATGTAAGAACATACATTGCATCAACGCTTTTGTTGTGGTAAGTGGTCAGCCATAATTCCAGTAGATGGCTAGATATGTTTGTTTGCACCTCTCAGGGGGCTTGCATACAAATGGTCTAAAGGAGATGTTCTGTCGGTCGGCACAGTCGGGGCATGCTCCGGCATGGTGCACAATTTTCTACACGTGCGTCACGGCGGAAAGTGGACCCATCATTTACCGCAGGCAGATGACCGCGGAGCTCTTCCATGACATCTTCCAGTCCTCTGGGGAAGGGGAGGCGGGAAAGACATGTTTCAACTGAGAGTTGTTTGAGTTTCACATGGTCCCATTTTTATGGCTCAGTTCCGCAAGCAGCAGTGGGATTTTGACCACCAGAAGGTGTTCTTGAAGGTATTCATTGTTTCTTCCAGGTCGTCCCGACGCTTCCAGACACTTTCTGGTAGCACTTGAACCGTTCCTGAGAAATTGGCATAGTGGACCCAAGGTTTGACTGCTTCGTGGCAAGTTAAATCACCTGTGGTAGTCCAGAAGAGGTACACAGATGGACAGATTGAAACAGGCGGTTTAGGTATCGGTGCCACAGTGTGGCGCATGTGCTGGCCCAAAGATCATGAATTTTCAATATCTTAATTTGATTGAATATGTATAGGCTCGCTCTAACACCTAGTTTCCTGCAACGAGATGAAAAGAGCGCACTGCATGCCTCAGACCAAGTCTCATATGTTCATAATGTGTTTCTGGAGCCTCTTGGGTAATGAGATCAACATTTTGGAATCCTCAATGCTCAAGTCTTAGTTTCCCGAACTCTTGGATCCTACAGGATTTTGCAAGTCTGTGGATCAGATATGATTGTGGGGTATATCGAAAGGCTCCCCATGCGGCAACACTTTCGGGTGTCCATGGGCGGATCTTCCGTGTTTCGACCCGTCGGATCGGCACCGTTTTCAGACGTCGGCGGCCACGTGCTGCGACTTGGTCTCCAATGCCATGTCGCTTGGCGGAGAGAGTTCGGGGCAGAACGGGGTGCGAAAGGGCGTATGGTTTGGTTTATGCTTTTGTAATATGTTTGAAGGAGAATCATTAGGAAGAAGGAGATTGACAGGTATGAAGAGGCGACCGTTTGTGGATGTTTTGGGGGCGCAGAAGAGTTGAGAAGCATTTTAAGTCTAAGGGGTTAAGATCGATGGACAGTTCTGCTGATTGGCAGTTTGGTGATGTCTCGCGCATTGCACACTTACTGACTTGAGTGGTGGGGGACCTGGGTGCATCACCGAAACACCTCCATGCCTCCCACTCGGCGTTTGCAGGCGAAGTGCCACGGAGTACAGCAACTGCTGCTGAGAAGCGAACCTTCGCTTCGGTACATCGGCAGGATGCGCCTGACTGGGCTCAAAGGAACCGGTAGGGTGGTGCAGACCCATTCTATGGGGATTGCTTCATCGGATGAACTTGAACCTGCCAATTCAACATCGGGGATCTTCTTGGCATTGCTTGGTTACATGATTTGGGGCTTATTGGCATTTATTGGCAACAGGCTTGCTTGTGGACACTTGCCCTAAAAGAGGAGTGTTTCAGTCACCGCTTTCTTTGGCGGCATTTGATCAATTGATGCTATCAGCGATGATTCAGAGGAATTTGGCCAAGCCAATCTTCCTTTGCAGCTAACAGAGATGACGATATGGAGTTTATCATCGTCTTGCTTTTGGAGCCGTCTGCCCTCATTTAGGCCAGCATGTTTTTTTGGGTCGTTCGCTCTCAATTTTTTAGAACCTTTGTAGATCCAGTTGCCATTAGAGCAGGCAAGCATGTCAAGAAACCAAAGCAAGAAACATTTGAGTGGCAAGCAAATGCTGTCAAAGAAGAATCAACGACCGCAACTGGATCAACCAAGGGAGAAATCGCTGCAAGTTGGAGTTTTATTTAGGCATCCAACCCGGCCAGTCGACCGACTTGGGCGTTCGAGCCGGCGAAATTCGTTCCACTTGCAGTATGCGCTCTGGACCTGACCAAGCACAAGCTCCGTAGGACGTTTGATGTTGTATGATGTGATCTGGGAGATTTAGTGGCGCCATGGGCGCGGCTGACGTGGCCCACTATGGGACAATGGGTTTGTTGTCGATCTTCCTACTTTTTCCAGGGGTCTTGGAGGCCTTCCTAAAATCCCTAAGAAATCCTGCAAAATAATGAACTATTGAATACACGTATGTTGATAGTTTTCGCCGCGTTGGGCTGGCCTCAAGGGCTTGAAGATTTTGGCAGGAACCGTTCCCGGAGATCCAAAGTTCTTGCTGTTGAAAATGAACAATGAGTTATAAAGAGCAGGATGCCAGGATGCCCAAGAAACATTAGTTCAAGGCGGTTGGTATATGTTGGTGTGACGTCTCAACAAGCGGGTGTCCGGTGTGCTGGCTTTGGGGGGTTTGGCGCTGCAATGAAGCCCAGCTTTATAGGTTTTGCCAGAGGCAAGCCAACAGTTGGACTGCTAATGCAAAAAAGGACAGCTGGTGTGATTACTTTGCTTTGTATCATTACAATTCATTTCATTGCATTGCAGCGGGCCGTCATAAAATAGGCATTGATTTTGTGTACCTTGAGATGTGTCGGGCATTCCGCAGGTGGATCCTTGCCCCCGGTTACACTTGCGGGGCTTGTCAGCCCGGAATTGGGGAGATGTAGTGGGAGATCTCCATTTCCCTGAATGGAACGATGTTTGTTTGGAAGATCAGGTGATAGGGTGACACTGAGCGAGGACATGGGCGACCATGAGGAGCTCTATGAACTAACTCAGTGCCCTCAGGGCTTTCTCGGGTTCAGTGAGGAGTTTGGAAGAGCCTTCTGCGCAGCCAATGGTTTCATTGGTGAAGAGCCAATGTGCTCTTGCAGAGTCCAGCAGCATGGCTGGCCGAGGCAAGGAAGGTTTGTTTCAGGTTTGCACAAGAAGAATATGACTGAGGAAGTCGTGAAAGTTCTCAAATGTTCTTTCTGCTCCGAAGATCATTGTCCAGGTTCTCCAATGGTCAGGGAGCAAGATGCTGCAGGACCTGAAAACGCTTGGGATATCTTGGGATCGGATTGCCTTCCCTTGAGCTTTTGTCATGAGAGGCACTGTGCACAATGTGAGCCAGAAGAAGCGCATCTTCATCTCGTGAATTCAATCAACTCCGGGGGTGGATTTAGGATAGAGAAGCTGCAGCATCACTGGCATCAGCTTCATCAACATCAACACATCAACAAAACATCCAAGCTGATGGCATGCTTCTCTTTGTAAAGTTGCCCCAAGATTTCATGGGATGCTTCCACCGGAACCAAATGTCACAGCGTTCCACTCTGGAGGAGATTTGCAGGCCGGGCGAGTGTTGCACTGTGGAGTTCAATTTTGATACTCAATGCTGACACTAGCCTGCGTGACATATAGCTTAGTTAGATTTGCGATCACTTGTTGGGTTCTTTCGGTTCTATTGAAACGTACCGTGTTTGGCAAAATCAATGCTTTAGCTTGAACCGAAGTCACTTGGTTTGCGAATTGACAGGGCTACAACCACCGAGTGGCCCGAACGATCGCTCGCCGAAGCACGGCCGGGAACACCCAGTGCTCAGTATGGCAGGGGCCAGGCGGTGGATGCTTTCAGCTATTGGGAGAGCCACCTAACCTCAATACTAGTAACAAGAAGCAACTAGGGGCTCCTGGCCTTACTACTAGGAGCAAGGACGCTACTAGTAACAAGAAGCAACTACGGGCTCCTGGCCTTACTACTAGGAGCAAGGACGCTACTAGGGGCTCCTGGCATCGCTACTAGGAGCAAGGACGCTACTAGTAACAAGAAGCAACTAGGGGCTCCTGGCCTTACTACTAGGAGCAAGGACGCTACTAG